AGGGAAATGTTTTACATCTTGATTGTGGTGGTAATCATGAGGATATACATATTTGCCAAAATTCATTGACCTATGCATTTTAAAAACAGGTACAATTAATTTTATATAAATTATACCTCAATAAACTTGATTTAAAAATCCATCATCACTCTAGAAAGCAGAATGCTGTCTGGAACAGCAATCCATCTAAAATGATATAAGATCTAGTTTTAAGATGACTAGGCATCTAATAAAGTATTTGACATATCCTTCCAGCAATAAATTACCACCAATTACCACTTGGGTAAAGTAAAATTCAAATAACTCATTAAAAATAACTCTTTTAAAGAACACATACTTCTTACAAAAGTTCTATGAGAAAAATCAGACTACTTGTTTTTTAGATAGAGTGACAAACACACACATGCACACACATTGCCTGTGATTTTCAAAATCCTATGAGAGGGAAGAAGTTAGCTTTAATTATTTGTTTAATATCATCATTTGAACTTTTAACCTTTTCCTAACTTTGTAGATGTTATGAAGCACTGTGGGAGCACTCTAGGTAGATGGAATACTCAACACCACTATGGAAAGAAGGAGTGTGAGAGCACATGCTGTGATTGGGGAGCTACTAGGAAAGCACAGTTGGGGAGATGAAGCCAGAGAGGCAGACAGGCTTATTAACCACTGAAGGATTTCAGGCTGTAGAATCCATGACCAAATCTGCACTCTGGTGGCAGTTCAGGGGATTAATTGAGCGGTGGGTTGGGAAGATTGGAAGACAGAGGATTACAGATAGAGGGCCACTGCTTGATCATGGTAAAATAGCAAAGATCTAGATTAAGGTAATGACAGCAAGGATGAATAGACTGAGATGTTTTTGACAGTACGTATTTAGAAAGGCAGAATTGATGGGATTTGGTAGCTGATTGGATATGGCATCAGGGGTGAGGGAGGATTCTAGGATAACTTCTGACTTGGGATTCCGTCTGTCTAAATAACTGTACCATCCCTCAAATTGGAGAATATAGGAGGAGAAGCAGGGAAAAAGATTATGACTTCCTATCTGCACATAATAAATCTGTATACCTGTGTACATTCAGGGGGAGGTATCCAGCAAGCCAGGTTAATATGTGGATGTGGAGTGAGGAGTGGTCTGGGCTGAAGTCAGAGATAGGATACCAAAATCAAAAATAAACTCTCAATCTGTATAAAATGGGAGGAGAGCTAAAAATGGAACCTTAGAGAGCCTCAATATTTTCATGAGGAGGCAGAAGAAGAGCCTAAAAAAGTGACGAAAAGTTGCATCTGGAGTCATAGAAGCAAGTATGAGAGCTCTATAATGGTGAAAGTGGTCAGCAACCATCAAATGCTGAAAAGTCATCACGTAACATAAGAGAAATATGTGTATCAAGTAGGACGTCACTAGTGACCTTTCCAAGAGCAGTTCCAGGAGAACACTGAAGAAAAGAGCCAGAAGGCGGTGCTGTGAGGGGTGAATGGGAGGTGAAGAAGCAGAGAAATTCAGTGTTCACTACTATTTCAATGAGTCTGACTATGAAAGGAAGGTGAACATTTGATTAATAACAGGGGAAATAATTTTAAAGAAGAGATGTATGTATGTTTCTTTGTTTCATGGTGTGGCTTGGGCCTGTACCTGATGATGTAGCAAAATTCATGGGGAGAGTGGGGAAGGTGACAGAATAAAGGTATCAAAGGGAATGTTATGGGATCCAGAGTGGAACCAGTGCTGGAACTAGTCTTAGACAAGAGGAAGGCTCCTTTTCCACTGAATTGAAACTGAAAAGATTTATGTACATGTAGGTAAGTCGTTGGGTGGGTGGTGAGGAGCAGATAAAGTTAATGAAGTGCCAGTTAAAAGGTGAGATTCTCTGTTGAGAGGGCAAGGAGCTAGCTGATCATGTGAGTTTAAAGACAGCAGTGAAGGCTGGAAAAGGTACTGATGAGAATGGAAGAGCTTTAATATCTCAGTAATTAGGGACTCCTCTTAATCCCAGTATATGTATATGGAAATATGAATAATGATTGTCAGGTAAAGAAATTCTTTTTACGGGGCTTCCCTGGTGGCGCAGTGGTTGAGAATCTGCCTGATAATGCAGGGAAAACAGGTTCGAGCCCTGGTCTGGGAAGATCCCACATGCCACGGAGCAACTGGGCCCGTGAGCCACAACTCCTGAGCCTGCGCGACTGGAGCCTGTGCTCCGCAACAAGAGAGGCCGCGAGAGTGAGAGGCCCGCGCACCGCGATGAAGAGTGGCCCCCGCTTGCCACAACTAGAGAAAGCCCTCGCACAGAAACGAAGACCCAACACAGCCATAAATAAATAAATAATAAAAAGCAAACAAAAAAAAAAAAAAAAAGAAATTCTTTTTACACATTGCTTCCACATAGGAGGATGACACTTCTAGCTCCCTCCTGAGGAAGACATGTTTTTCGCATTCTTACAACAGTGGTGATGGCCTTTTAACCACAGTGCATTTGTGCGATAATTATAAGGATTTAGAATGGAAGCCCTAGCCTTGCAACAGAGTTTTCTTTCAACATGACACTAACTGACCTATTCTAAAAGTCAAATTCCAAAAATCTTAGCATCTTGGCAGTAGCCACTGACACGTTTACATAAGACAGCATTCTATTTTAAACTATGATCTATCTCAGCTTCTTAACATTGTAAGCTACACCTTTCATGTCAAAATTTCCAAAGACTTGCATAACAAGCATATGAAAAATATCTCATAAATGCTCCCTAGTGGGGAAACTGCACAGGCAACTACCTGTTTATATATGCAGTAACTTGAATTATACATGAAAATTCCACATGGATGCCCAGAATCAGCACTGTGTTAATTCAAGAAGTATATTAAAATTTCTGGATGTATTTAGTAGCAGATCCTAAGAAAAATCTGTTCTTTAAACAGGATTTTCTTTAAAAAAAAAAAAAAAAGATCTGTTAGCTGGAATCTACTGTTTCAAGGAATCTACTCTTCCTAGGAAAAATAATCTGTAATAAACATTAATCTTATAATACATTTTCAAAAATCCTGGGAAACTCCATCTTTAGATCCTTTAAAAAGCCTGTAAAACTGTAAAATTTCCCTATTCTATAAAACTTCAATCATACTGAAAATAAAATTTAAATGATAAATGTCAGTTGCAGAAGTTATCACCTTTTCATTTGAATGCTTGACTTCTATTGGATAATTCTCTTCCAAGAGACCTACTTGGGAAAAAGAGGTGACAGCCAACTCATTGCCTAATTGATTTAGGAACAGTGCCCAGGGAGATAGTCCAATTAAGTTTACAAGCTGGCAATTAGCAGGAAGCCCTCTAAATCCCTACACTGAGAGCCTGTTTACTTTAGTAAGAAGGCAAATGTGCTAGAGATAGGAAGAGAAAGCTGTGCTTTTTGCAAAGCTGTTGTGAGTAGGCCCACAAGGCAGGGCTGAAGAAAGGCTAGGTATACGTCAGAAGACAGCCTTCTGTTTGACAGGTAACTTGGGTTATTGAGAGAGAGAGAAAGAGGAGGGGGGAGGAAGTTTTAACAGATATGCAAAACATCTAACATCCACTTTAATAAGTGTTGAGTATAGAGACATACCACTGTTAAATGTGTAGTTGGGCAAAGTAGAACTGGATTATCTCATAATAAATGAGATTCCAAACATATTTTTCTTGGACAATACTGACATTATGAATGGATTTAGTTGCATTTTTAATATGTGGAAAGAACATAGCCCTCACATTATATCCCTGATATCTTTCAAGTTAGTCAAGTTATTTTCATTAGATTTATTTCATGTGTTCAATTTCAGAGGCAAGTAGATCCATAAAAAAACAAAGTAAACTGACAGCTATTTAACAAACACTACAATGTCTTAAAAACTTAACTTTGTAGCACAGAGCCAAATCTTATAAGGGGTTTTTAAGTGTATTTACTTTTCTATGTTTTCAAGTTGCGGTGATGTGCATTAATTAAAATCGTTTTTTTAAAACCTAAGTGAGGTTCTTTCAAGAATGTTAAATTACACAAAACTGCCTAAAGGGACTTCCGTGGTGGTGCAGTGGTAAGAATCCACCTGCCAATGCAGGGGACACGGGTTCGACCCTTGGTCCAGGAAGATACACATGCTGTGAAGCAACTAAGCTTGTGTGCCACAACTACTGAGCCTGTGCTCTAGAGCCTGAGAACCACAACTACCAAGCCCGTGCTCCACAATAAGAGAAGCCACTGCAGTGAGAAGCCTGCACACTGCAACAAAGAGCAGCCCCCTGCTCTTCACAACTAGAGAAAGCCCATGTACAGCCAAAAAAATAAAAATGAATACCCAACTCTAAAAAAAAACAACAACAAACTGCCTAAAGGATATCATGTATTTCAGGACATAGCCAGTAATGCAAAACTACAAAAGGCAAAAAAATCACAATAATAAAATTCTGCTTTAAAGCTTCCTGGTTGAAATGGGATACATTAATACACATTTTTCCAAATATTGATAAGTTCTTTTGAATATTTTTATCTAAAATCTTTAGCAAATGCTAACTAAATATTTCCTTTCTCTTTTTTAAAACACTTGCTTTACACATTTCCAATCTGGGAAGAAATGGACACTTATAATCTAAAATAATTTTAATAGAAAAGTACTACAGAATTTTGTAATGGACATACTTTTAATATATTCTCATGTGTACTATTTCTTAAGGAATTTTAATAGACAGTTTATTTTGGAAAGCATCAAATGTGGCTAATTCAGTCTTTTTATTCATCACAATGGAAAATTAATGCAATTTCAAAATTCTTCAATATATAATGTACCTTGACATTTAGAAAATCATCCACAAAGCTTTCTTAAGGAAACTATATGAAATGTTTGAAAGGCAAGCACACTGATGGAATGACAAACAGAAAATCTACATTCCAAGAATAGTTTTATTGTCTTAGTTATATTGTCACCATCATAAAAAATTTAATTTATTTACTCACCAACTTCCTTGACTTACCAAGTTTAAACAGAAGTACACCCAAAGGTCCTCTGTCAAACTTGAGGAAGAGGAGATCATAGATGTCCCCACTTTCAGGCTTCTTAGAAACAACCTGCGGAGCTATCCACTGCATTTGAACAAGACTGCTAGAAACATCAAAGAATTTTTTGAATTGTAGAGTCTCCCTAGGTGAGCGGTCTTCAGCCAAAAGCTGGATGTTAATAGGAGAAAGAGCCATATCAAAAATTTGCAGCTCCCCTTGGTTACTGCCAACTAGCAGAATGGCACCACTTGGGTGGCAGCTTATTAATGAAGGCAGAAGTTCAGCCTGAGCTAAGACAGTCACTCTACGGTGAGTTTCATAAAGAATTACTGAAGAATCTTCACAGCCCAGAATCAGTTTGTCTTCAGTAACATTCCTGCAACAGCTAATGGCCTTCGATCTTAGTGGTATTCTGGTGACTGATACACACTGGATTTTGTGCCGAACACATTCATAGATGCAACTGTCAGCCATGGGCTCTTTGTCTACACTGATGGAGCACTCCACTGTCAACACCTGATAAGGCTGTTTGGTGCCAAAGCGAACATCCAGTGGATCCCATTCCGTGCGTACAGAACTCAGAACCTGTAAGAAATGTATCAAGTATGTTCATATAGACCTTGGTTTTTCTTCAGCTGTCACGCATAGCCCTGCATATTAATCTAGAATCCTACTGAATACCATTAACTATCACCTTAAATATCAGCAACATATAAGCAGGTATGTGTATATCTCATATAGAACACATATAAATATATATAGCACATATTTAGCACAGCTGCAGAAATTAAACTATAAAATTTTAACTTAAACACTTTGTTTTAGGAAGTCTGTAAATAACATAAAGACAAATATTTCCCATGATATATAAAAACTAATGAAGTGGGCTTTTAGTAAAATAATATGGCTAGCAGAATATCTAAAGACTTTAAAAGGATGAATAAAGGACTTAAACAATTTAGTCAATCTCCTTCCAACCCACTACCCCTCCCAATTCTGAAATTATTGGTAAATTACTTACCAGAAATATATTTCTAATTAGTTGGGCAGGGTAGGCAAAGGAAAAAACTTTAGAACCCTGTTAACAGTCCTGTAGAAATATTTTACTGTCAGAAAAGATATGAAGGGTTGTTAAGTAGATAAATGACCAATAGAAAGAAATAAGAAGATAATGCACTAGTTTTAAAATTAAAAAAAAAAAAAAAAGACCTGGTAGGTAATACGATTTGCAATACTGGTGAGGCAAAATTTAAAAAGCATTTCTGGTGCAGAAAGGAAAGGCTACAAAGAAACACCACAGCAGAAGAACAAAGAAATAAAACAGCAGGCCATTCACTTTATTCATATGTAAATATGGGAGGCCAAGAACCTGGAGAGTGGTATCAAAAATAGTTTCTAACACTTTGTCGAAAACTTCAAAATTAGATTTAGAAACATTAAAAAGCACATTTCTACACGAGATAAAATTTCACAGAACTATGCATGTGCACACACACACACACACACATACACAAGTGCATGTAAAATCCGATGAAATCCAACTAAGGCCAGTACCTGAGTTAATAGTATTATACCAAGGTCTTGTTCCAGGATTTGACAATGTACTGCAGTAATGTAAGATACTATCATTGAGGCAAACAAGGGGAAGAAGTACAGGAAGGGAATTGGCTTTTAGCCTATTTTGGCAATTATATTAGCAGTTTCTTGAGAGTCAAACTATTTCAAAAAATTTTTTTTCTTTTTTTTAAAGCACATACAGCTATGTTACATGGTACTGACTTGGGGAGGGAAAGGGGGTTGATGTGAATCTTTTTAAAAATCCATCCTACACATCATTACCAAACTAACCTTCCTAAACTAAATGTTTTTGCTATCATTCCCCTGTTCAAACCCTTTAATAGCTACCACTAACGAATAAATTAAATTTTTATTCCCCTGCCTGGTACGCAAAACAATATAGGATCCATATCCAACCCCTTCCCTCCCTCACACTCACTTTCCTGCTCTTGCTTTTCTTTTTTGTCTAATATATGCTTGAGTATGAGCTACATGCCAGGCACTGGTCCTGGCACTGCTGGGGATACAGCAGTAAGTCCTCACCCTCAGAGAACATACACGCTAATGGCTGAAAACAAAGTAACAATTCACAAACAAACATACATAGGATGTTAGTGATCCTATATATGTACTTCCTAAATACTATGAAGAAAAATAAAGCAAAGTAACAGGAATGGGAAGGGGAGGTAATAGAAGTCAGAGCAGGCCTCTCTGATAAAGTTGACCTAAAAGAAGTGAAGGGTAAGCCATTCAGCCACCTGGGAGAAGAAGGCTCCAGGCAGAGGAAGCAAACATCCTAAGGTAGCACTCTTGACCTGATGAAGGAACAATGGGAGACCAACATGGCTAGATAAAAGGGAGCAAGGAAGAAAATACTGGGAATTGGGGGAGGGAGAAGATTGTGAAGTGGCTTGTAGGCCATTATAGGGACTTTGGCTTTTCCTCTAAACAAGATGAGAAGCCATAAGGAGGGACAAGATCTGACTCGCAAATTCTAGTGTTGTCTCCGACAGTCTCCCTTCATTACTCTACTCTGAGGTCAAACTAAAGCCGCATTTTCCCAGCTCTGTAACTTGTTAAATTAAACAAAGAGGCTGTTCAACTGATGAGGCCCTAATTCCATGGCAACCTCTGTAAGCAAACCAAAACCTAAACCTGTAAATGCCTCAAAGTTACAAAATCAAAACACTAAGGATAACCATTACAACAGCCAATTAGGCTTTAAACTATAGCCAATCAAATAATTTCCTTTCTTTGCTTCTGCACTTTCACTGTCAGTCTTTTCCCTGCCTCATATCAGTAGGATGTTCCTAACCACTTCCAGTTTGGCACTGCCCCACCAGAATCGATTTACTCAAACTCTGAAAACTTTTACTATGCCTCAGCTTATCTTTCAACAGCTTCACTCATGTCCTCTACCTCAGGGGTCCCCAACCCCCAGGCCACAGGCCGGTACCAGTCTGTGGCCTGTGAGGGATTCGGGCCACACAGCAGGAGATGAGCAGCAGGCCAGCGATCACAGCTTCACCTGTATTTACAGCCGCTCCCCAACGCTCGCATTACCACCTGAGCTCCGCCTCCTGTCAGATCAGCGGTGGCATTAGATGCTCATAGGAGCGTGAACCCTACTGTGAACTGCACATATGAGGGATCTAGGTAGCGTGCTCCTTATGAGAATCTAATGCCTGATGATCTGAGGTGGAGATGAGGCAGTGATGCTAGCGCTGGGGAGAGGCTGCAAATACAGATTATCATTAGCAGAGACCATAATAAATCAATTGCTTGCAGACACATATCAAAACCCTATCAGTGAGTGGCAAGTGATAATTAAGGTGCATCTGGTGGCAGGCTTTATAGTGGCAAGTGAGTTGATATACTTCAATTGTACAGCTGCATCTGGTGGTAGGCTTTAAATCAGAATCCGACATTTATTTTAGTCTGCACATGGCCTGCCCATTATTTTATTTACCACTTCTGTCTGCGCCTATTTCCCGTACTGAGCACTTGTCTCAGTCACAGTTTTGGTAAGCCCACAAGCTAACCTTAGCCAAAATGAGTAAAAAAACAAATGTCGCTGGAGAGCTTCTTTGAAAAGGAGGAAAGACCCAATGATAAGACAGCAGAAGACTCTAAGACTGCCAACAAAAAGAAAGCTGCATTTAAAAGAAAATACCAAGAGTCCTACTTAAATTAATGGGTTCACTACAACAGGTGATTCACACTCTCCAAGCCTGCTTTGTGTAATATGTGGCAACCGGCTATCCAACAAAGCCATGAAACCTTCAAAACTGCTTCGCCACATGGAGACCAAGCAACCTGCATTAAAAGACAAGGCTTTGGAGCTTTTCAAAAGAAAAAAACGTGAACACAAAGAACAGAAGCAATTATTGAAGGCCACCATTTCATCAAATGTGTCTGCACTGACAGCATCACTCTTAGTGGCTGACCGCATTGCTAAAGCTAAGAAGCCCTTTACTATTGGTGAAGAGTTGATCCTGCCTGCTGCTGAGGACATCTATCGTGAACTTTTAAGAGAGGCTGCAGTTCAAAAGGTGGCACAATAGTATTCCTCTTTTGGCTAGCACCGTAACAGACGAATTGATGAAATAGCAGAGCATATTAAGGCGCAATTGTTAGAGAGGAGTAATGAGTCACCGTGGTACGCAATCCACGTTGATGAGTCTACCGATGTTGACAACAAGGCAACAATGCTTGTTTTTGTGCAATATATTTTTCAGGAGGATGTGCATGAGGATATGTTATGTGCACTTTTGTTGCCAACCAATACCACAGCGGCAGAACTATTCAAGTCTTTGAATGATTACATATCAGGAAAACTGAATTCGTCATTTTCTGTCGGTATATGCACGGTTGGAGCAGCTGCCATGACTGGACAGCTTTCTGGTTTCACTACTCGGGTCAAAAAGGTCACTTCTGAATGTGAGTCTATGCACTGTGTCATCCATAGAGAAATGTTGCCTAGCCGGAAAATGTCACCTGAACTTAATAACGTTTTGCAGGATGTGATTAAAATTATCAACCACATTAAAGTACATGCCCTTAACCCACGTCTGTTCATGCTGCTCTGTGAGGAGATGGATGCAGACCACATGTCTTCTCTCATACACAGAAGTGAGACGGCTTCTAAAGGTAGATCACTGGCCAGAGTTTCTGAGTTATGAGAGCCACTCCAGAGATTTCTTTTAGAAAAAGAGTCACCACTGGCAGCACATTTTAGTGACACAGAATGGGTCGCAAAACTTGCTTACTTGTGTGGCATATTCAACCTGCTCAACAAACTCAATCTGTCACTTCAGGGGAGAACAACAACTGTGTTCAAGTCGGCAGATAAAGTGGCTGCATTCAAAGCCAAACTGGATTTATAGGGGCAACGAGTGAACACTGGGATTTTCCACATGTTTTAAGCATTAGCAGAGATTTAGAAACAGACGGAGCCCAGGGACTTCTTTCTCCCAGCTGGTGCATGATCACCTATCTCAGCTTTCGAAAGAGTTTGAGCATTACTTCCCAACCACACAAGACCCCCGGACTGGGCAGGAATGGATCCTTGACCCATTTGTGAATAAGCCAGGTGAACTGACCTTGTCCGTGCTAGAAGAGGATCAACTACTTGAGATCGCAAATGATGGCGGCCTTAAAAGTATGTTTGAGACAACTTCAAATCTCCATATGTTCTGGATTAAACTCAAGGTGGAATAGCCTGAGATTGCCACAAAAGCACTGAAAAGCCTGCTTCCATTTCTAACATCGTGTCTTTGTGAAGCAGGGTTTTCTGCAGTGACAGCAACCAAAACGAGATTACGGAGTAGCCTGGACATAGCAACACACTTCGTGTGTCACTGTCTCCCATCACCCCCAGACGGGACCATCTAGTTGCAGGAAAACAAGCTCAGGGCTCCCACTGATTCTGCATTATGGTGAGTTGTATAATTATTTCATTATATACTACAATGTAATAATAATAGAAATTAAGTGCACAATAAATGTAATGCTCTTGAATCATCCCA